TGTGCTGCAGGAAGTAACATGCGTCTCTATTTAATTATTTTTATTAATTTTAAGCATAGTACAGTAGACGCAGAAGGAAACTAGCCTTGAAACAGCATGTAAGGATTTTCAAGTCTTATCGTGAATTTTCTTGGCTATTTGAAGTTTTGTTTTTCTGTTTTTGTTTTTTTGGGCCACATTTAAATCCTGCATGCTGACACAGTTGCAGATATTTAGGGTTGCTGTATGAATCGATGAGGCTTCTATAGCAGATTGCCGTGGAAATGAGCTGCGGCAGGAGGGAAAAGAGACCGACAAAAGTGAAAGTGGAGACAGGGGAAACGGGAGAAACCAGTATCAGCCCCGGCAGCGTCTGGTCTCTACTTTCCCCCGTCACTCTGACTTCATCTTGGCAACCAATAAGGAAAGGCCCCTCTGTGTCTCCATGGTAACCCCCTGTTCAAGCAATGATGGAGAGGATAAAGGGGCAGGAAAGAAAATACATTTTGGCCTAAGGCAAAACATTTTTCTTCTCAAGTTTTGTTGAGTGTAATGCATTTTCTTTCTCTTCTCTGACATTGTCATTCAAAAAACAGAATGTTGCATTTTTTTTTCTTTTTAAATGTGAGAGACTAAAAATAGACCCCAGGCAAGGCACAATGATTTCTGTTTACACTTGCCTTTAAGCTTCATATGCTTCTATACTTTTGCAGTGACCACGACCTTTGTCTATCACAACTGATAAATATTTTACTCGTAGCCCTGCTGCTTCTGCAGTTTGCAGATGTTTCAGCGTCTTTTTAAACGCTTCATATCAAGCGCTCACTTTCCTCTCTGCAGGTTGCGATACACACGCATGTGCCCACATTCTTTTATAGAGTTATAGTGTAGGTGTTAGCGCAGTAATGAATCTCAGCCACAGCGCTGTCGTATGCCACATAACCAAAGCTGCTTCTCACTGTTGTGAGAGACAGAGAGTGGCAGTGATAATGGAAATTCATTTGTTGTTATCCGTCCAAGCCTTTGTGGCACTGGTAAGCATGCACTCTGCAATAGTCTCCACATTAGCAAGAAGGCCTTAATTTGAATCAGCGTCTTGTTGCTGCCAAACACTCGAAGAGTGACTGATGAGAATGTTTTGGAGAGATTGTCTAAATGCACCAAAGCATTTCCTTTCCTTTTGGTCTGCTGGGCTACATGAATTAGTTAATGGAATGGGCAAAATGCGAGCGTAGCGACGCTTTCTTTTTCTGTATCTGCTGAGTTATATAACACGCTCTCTCTACGCAGCTCATTTAGGCTCGCTGAGCACTTTCAGAGAATGACAGCAAGGGAAGATCCTCGTTTAACCTTGGCACGTAACTGATTAATCCAAGTGCAATTTTCATATAAGGTCATCTAATTTTGGATTTCTGAGTGAAGCGTGGGGTTGGTTAGAGATGGTGTTGGTATGCAACGGGCCCATTTTGGACCACTGTGGCGTTGACGAGCACCACTGAGGCATAAGAAAACAATGGCTCCAATTATTAAAGGGGCTTAAAGTTCTCAGCGGTCACTAAGCACCCGATTTATTTATTTTTGAATTTTAATTACATGATGCGGGTGTCAAATGTAAAACCTATATTCCAGTGGTTCCTGCCCTCTGTTAAATTAGATGATCTGCTTTAGATTAAAATCATGTTCACCTCGAGATTTTGCAAAAATGGCAGATATCTTTGCAACAGGTGTGGCTTTCTTCTAATATCTAATTCTTCTGTATGTTGCACAAGGAGAGCTTTTCACATCAAATGAGCAGTTATGACACTCTTTAAATGTATGTTGGGTTTTTTTGTTTGTTTGTTTGTTTGTTTTTAGATATCTTCCAAGTGGGTATACACACTAAAACTAAAACTCACAGTTAATAGAAGATTATTCATTTGTTTGTTCGTGTTAACAAATCCCTTTCTCTGTGGTAATCAAACTGCAGTTTCACGACACCATGTTCAGCTGTGCCTGAGCTCGATTTCTTTTTGCTCTCGTTCATTCCCTCCCTGTGCACGCTCATTTTTAGAAGCAGATCATACTTGCAGGGCTACTGTAGGAGGTAGAGGACGAGAAGGAGGAGGAGGAACACAATGCAGGAGATGCTCACAGGGTGTCAAGTATTTTTAGCTTTCCCCTTGTGCTGTGATGATGAGTAAAGAACAAGGGCAGGTTGTGCTTCCCACCTTCATAGTTTGTGGAAGATTGTGGACCTGAGGGACGGGAAAGGGTGATGGATATGTTTCAGAATGCATACGACGCTCATTGTATTTACTGTATAAGAACAAGATGACTCACCATTATTTGGCCCCTTTATTTTTACAAGATTATACTGTTTTTTTTCAGCTTATAACACTGCTTCCAAAGGTGATTACTCACACATTGTTTTGTTTTGTTTTTCCATATGAAACTGATTTTCTCATCTTAAGTCAGCATCAGACTTGTTTTAAACTGAGGCTAACCAAAGAACCATCATAATGCTCTTGCTTTGCTTTTGTTTGAGCTGTGCATTGTGTGGTGTCACATATTGAAAAAAAAAAGGCTTTTTCATTAAAGAGAGAGGCTCAATGTTTGCTCACTCCTCCAGTGCTGTATTGAAATCAAGCAAGGTAAAACACGGTGTGTGTGTGTGTGTGTGTGTGTGTTGTGTGTGGGTTTGTTGTTGTGTGTTGTGTGTGGTGTGTTTGTGTGTGTGTGTGTGTGTGTGTGTGTGTGTGTGTGTGTGTGTGTGTGTGTGTGTGTGTGTGTGTGTGTGTGTAAAAGGATTAAACAATAATAAGGTAGGATAAAGAGTTTTATTAAATTTCTTTATTGGTGCCTAAAGGGGGTGGGTTTTGTTGGGTGTAAATTGGGTGTATTGTCACAAAAATACTGTTTATCTGATAAATACTCTTCATTTTTTGCCCTCATTAGACCCTTCACCTTATAATCTCAGTATGTTTGAGACTGAAGTTAGAGTTCGAAATAAGCCCAAAGGCTTCTTTAGGCTCGTAGATGGATGGTAAACTCCCTCATTTGTGTGCGTTTACGGCCCAGCACGAATACATTTGTCTTAAGCCTCTTGACATTTTAACTGGATTGGTCGGTAAGCCCATCAACTCAATCAAGGATTCTTATCACAAGCTGAGGCAGTTGCCATAACCGAGGTTGCCTCTGTGATACGAGAGCAACAGTGTGAAACCGATCTGCTGTATTTCAGGCAAGCCGGGAGGCTAATATGTTCCACTTGTATTTTAACGATCACGTGAGCCACCGATCCCTGGAATTTACCGCCTTCTCTGGTGCGCAGCCTCAGCACTGTGCTCTATAAAACACTGCTAAATTTAAAGGAGCGCCACCATTGCAGCCTTTGGGAAAAGCCTCCAGTGAGTCACCACTGCCCTCTCGGTATTGCTCCGTGTTTGACAGCAAGGCCCAGCTGCTGCTCTCTGTCCTGGGGATCTGTCTGTTTACTGAGCATATATCATGTCTTTGGACAGATTAAGTCATGCCACTTTCCATTATGAGAGTGAAGGACAGTGTGGAGTGGCAAGGAAAGCCAAGAGTGAAAGGCACATTTCATGTTTATGTCAAAGCAATCGACCCGAAGGATATGCTGGTCTGTGTTCTGTGGAGTAAGCAGGTTTCATCTGTTTATGTCACTTATCAGTGGTTAGACGTGACCAGATGTGCAGCGCTCTCCACACTTGTTTATTGAGAAAGGCTTTTGTAGTCAGACAGATGTAGCCATGATTAAAGGCATCACCCTTATGGCTCCTCTTGTATTATTCATCATGTTACCTGGAACGTTTCTGTATTGACGCTGATTTTTAGTGTCTAATTCACCTTTTGAAAAAGGAAAAAATGAATCACTTGGTACAATAACACTCCTGCCTGGAGGATTGCATTTAAAAAAAAAAAAAAAAAAAAAAAATTTAATACCTTCGATGGCTCATCACACTTTGTGATGTAGCATTGTGCACCTCAGGGTGTATGCCGGCCGCACAGGATCACGAAACGGTAGCAGGAAGAGGTACAAAAGGCAATCCCACTCAAAGTGTCTTGTAGCTATCACTGTCTTCAGCTTTGTCGAAACAGGAGCAGGAACATTGGGGGCTGCTTTATGATGAGCGCTGTGCATGGGCTTGTGCTGCTGTTGCGTCACTGCCTAGAGGGGGGCAGAGACAGTATTTTTAGAAGGGAATGAGCATATTCTCTGCACAAACAACGTCAAGCACTCTGCTTGCGTATGCTTGGATTATTGTGACCAGGCTATTTTTAAGCTCTGTGTGTGAGAGTGCTTTTTTTCTGGGTCAAGCATGGTGCCAGTACTCTCTCGAGTCTGCTGGTGAATCGTACATTACCGGTCCTGTGCTGTGCACTGCATCTGCATCAGTCAAAAATGAAAGTTGGAGAATCACAGGTTTAAACCAGCAGGAGGAAAGGCTTTCTTATTTATTTATTTATTTATTTATTTATTTATTTATTTATTTATTTATTTATTTATTTATTTATTTATTAAGGAAAGCTTTCTATCTGCAGTGAAATGTAATGCCTGTATTTGTGGAACAGTCACCCAGTCTTAAATTAGCTAATTCAGGAGGCCTTATAATGTGTAGTCAATACAACCGGAGACACAATACATAAATATACAATACAAGATGTATGCTGTCAAATATGTATAAAGTTTGGGTGTGTCCATGTGAGATTGTTGCTTCACTGAGTTTACACAACTGCAGCCAGACAAGAGGAGACAGGTGCTGGAAAGTGGTGCATAAGCTTTCCACTGAAACCAAACGTTTTACTGAAGAAGAAGGAAAAACATATTTTAAGCTGGAACCGCAGATTAGAGGGTGGAAATAACTTCCTAGTTTCTGCCCAACAAGGCATAAATATGACTCACATTTGCTGGTATATAAAATCAGACTTAAGCCAAATACGAGTACTTACTTTCATTAAGTGCACAAAACAGAATTTAGCTTGTATGTTACTTTTTTTTTTTTTTTTTTTTTTTTAAAGACTGAATTTAATTGAGTAATCAAGATGGTGGGGAATGGTTGCTTTGTGCAATGCTCACCAGTAGCAATACTGCTGTAATCCTGCAGAATAGTGACATAACTAACCTGCATCAGTATTGCTGCTAATCCCTGCAGAGCATCATCACAACAGCTTCTGAACACATGCTGTCGGACAGAGCTCCGCTTTGGGTGGACAGGGTCCCTCTGTTGAGCTGCCTACTGGTTTTTCTTGCTTTCTGTTTGTTTGCTGTGTCCTTGTTGTGGTATTTGCATACCTGCTGTCACTTCCGTGTGTGTGTGTGTAGGCTGGCCGTTGGGGGCTGAACTTTGATTCATAAAGCAATAGTAGACAGCAGACAGTAAAAGAAGTAGTCTTATCATTGTCAGACTGAATGACCTCCAAATCAGTACAGTTAATACATCCATAATCTGTGGTCAAGAGAAAATACTCACTCATTTCTTGCATCAATAAATGCATCTGCATTAACAGTGTTGCCAGATTTTTAAATCATGCTTGGAGTAAATGTTAGTTTGAGGCTGTTAGTGCAAAGTGCTTATCCTTATTGATTAACTTCTAAAGACTCCTTGGGCTCCAGAGCTGCAGGCTTTCCTCTGGGCCTCTCCATGTAGCCTAGTTTTATTCTAGCATCCCCCCCAAGAGTGCAGTTATTTTCAGTAAAATGTGGTGTTCTGCTCTGATTTTGTCAATGCTTTGTTCTTCACTGTAAAGAAATCACAAAAAAACGTATAGAAGCAGAACACTTCCTAATATTTTAGTAAACAGCTGCTGTTCCAGATGTGAAGTCGGTCAGGCTGCGTCTTCTTTCCAGCCTCAGTAAAGTCAATAGATAAAAGCTTTTCTTTAGCGGCATTCAAACATTCAATCATTGGAGGGAATGGGTCTGTTAGTTCGACCAAACCTGGCCTTTGTTTGTTGGATAAGTGACGCAGGGGGGATATTGATGTGATTAGAGTGATTACACAGAATGGACGCATTCCTGAGCAAGGTCCAATAGTTCAGAAATTGGTAAATATTAAGGTTATGCAAGACTGTGTGGTCACATTTGGCTAAATAGCTAAATCAGCAGCGTCAGGATGGTGTTGTGCACTATAGTCTCCTCGGCAGCATAACTAAGATCCTGCCTAATGTGCTTTCACCTGACCTATCTGAAAACAGGCTGAACTTTATCTTAAATTTCAGTTAAACTCAGTTTTATTTATATCATTACACTCGCTTAAGGTGCTTTATATGGCACGGTAAAGACCCCAACGATCCAGTGACCCCCAATGAGCAAACACTTGGGGACAGTGGGAAGGAAGAACTAACTTTTAACAGGAAGAATTCTCTGGCAGAATCAAACTGGTTGGGGGGCAAGGGGTGAAAGACAGGATAAAAGATGCACTGTGGAAGAGAGCCAGAGATTAATAGTAACTAATGATTAAATGCAGACTGGTGTATGAAGGGAGAAGAAGATACACTCGTGAGAAACCCTGAGCAGCCTATGCCTATTGCAGAGTAACTAAGCGAGGATTCAGGGTCAACTGACTCAAATAAGTGCTTTATCAAAGTACACCTTTAAATCTTTGCTGTTAAAATATCCAAGTTTGAGAATTTGAAAACATAACTTGGAAAGGAGATAATGCCTGTGACAGTTATTTAGCTAAACTTCCACTACAGTGCAGTATGGTGCTGCATAGGCGTGATCTTGTTTTGTACTTTTTTAGCTTCGGAGAGCTGTTTTCTTGCCTTAACGGTCAAAGCAGACTTCTGCAACTCACGCCACCCACACGTTGTGTATGTATAGCCCACACCTACCCCTATTCTACCCAGTGGTTTGAAAACAATGCTTTGTGTATTTCTTATTTGTGAAACCTCGATCATGAACAGGGGGGCTCTTACACTGTTATATAATGCCTCCCACTCTACTGTAATCCCTCTTATGCTAACTTAGCACCCCATGTGACGGTGCTGGACCGCTGGAAGAAAAAGGGTGGCTGTCGGGACTGTCGGCAAGGCATGGGTGCTCTTCGTAGACTCTGGCCACACACCTACACACAAAAACACACACGCAGTAGCCTGTGTATAAGAAGGAGTATTTATCCTAGGAAGTGCTTTACTTGGATTTGCGATGCTGGATGGAGGCACAACACCGGTGCTTGTCTTCATTGCCAAGGCTTGGAGTAGATATCTACTACACGGAGCATATGTTCTGAATGACACTTTAGCTCTTTTCTTCATCTGCCTGTGAGCCACGAGAGGGGATCTTTGTCCTCCGATGTGTGTAGCAGAGTTAGACAGATTCAGAATTTAGTCTGTGTGCTGACAGGTTTTGCCCGTTATTGATATTTTTTACTGCTGCTTTCTGATTTTTGAATGTTGGGATCTGGAATAATCATTAGGAATTTTAAGATGTTAACTTTATCCATATGTTTTGACTAACACACTCTACAAATGGGATGTTGTGCATTAATATGCAGCACCCATAACCCAGTTTTTTTTTACGTTTTCTTTCACCTCCACAGGAGCCATCAATGTGGACTTCAGCTGGTGATTTGACAAGTCTCGTATAGGAGCATCCCGAGTCTCTCCTTCCCTCTCTCCCCCTCCCTTTTCCTCTATCCCTCCCTCCCCCGTTCCCTTGTCAATCTCCTCCCTGATCCCCCTATCCCCCTTCTCCAAGCTTCACCATGCTCATCAAGGAGTACCGCATCCCCATGCCCATGAGTGTGGAGGAGTACCGCATCGCCCAGCTTTATATGATACAGGTGAGGCAACACAACCATGGTTTCCAGCAAATCCTCACCCACACACACGCACCTAACTAAAAATGAACAACCGCAGAAACGAGGGGACGAAAACGAGCAGTCAAAGAGGAGATAAAGTAACACGGCGAGTTCTTGAAGTGTGCAATCACAGCATACTCAATGATGAAAACGATTGGTCGTATGATGCGTGACGTTGGTGGAGCAACTAAACAAAGAGAGCCTGTGTGCTGATAGATTATCCAGTTTAAACTCTCTGAAGCTGGCTGTTTAGAGCTGTCATAGACCGCATGTTTCTGCACTCAATGAAACGCCATGTACACACACTGCTGCGACGGAGATGGACATACTGCTTTCATTTGTCAAAGCAGGCCCTTAGCTGGAGATGGAGGGTCTGTGTTAGAGCATTAGGGTTTACAGCGCCTGCAGAAAGGGCCCATTTAAATAGCTTTAGTTCTGCTGTGCAGCATTATATCCTCTTCATATGGCATGTGTACATGAAGGTAGATTTACTTAATCCAGCAGTACACAGAGGAGGTATTGATGCCAAGACTCAGGCTGTGGTAAAAATACAGTGTTATTTATAGTTCAGAGATGTGCATATTAGGCATTAGGTGCATTTGTTTGGATTTGAGCTGCACGGTTACGTAATGTGTGTTTTTACGATCATTGCAGAGCAAGCTGAAGTTACAGACCTGTTTGATCAAGTTGAGGTTTTTTGAGTTTCGATGCATTTTGCCTCTTTGCTGATCTTGCATTGCGATGGTAATGTGAGTCTGGTTGCTTTTTGTTATCAGAAAATAAGATTCACAAAGAGTGCAGAGTAAATTCAAAGCAAAGTATCAAGAGAAATCGGCATCTTAAGAGTCAAACGTGGGAGCTTTATTTGTGACCTTCATCTCTCAGGGTTCAGCTTTGTTAGATAGGTTCAGCATTTATGACTTGGGTAAGGAAAGCCCAGGATGCTTTCATGATGTAGACCAGCTGTTAATCTTACAGCCAAATAAGGATGTTGACGGGGTTGTTTAAAATTAATATCCACCCACAGGTATAACAAGGCTACATAGAGATTAATTCAACTGTATTGACTCTGAAAGCCTCTCCTTGTTTTTGCCGTGTACTTTAAAAACAGCCTGTGTCACTAGCTGCATTACATCATTGCAAATAGAGAGAGCGAGTATTTGAGAGAGGATAAGAGAGAGAATTTGGTTGTTGCAACGTTCTCACCAGTTACCGGTTTTCTCTGCATAAGCTGAAATGAGTGTAGAAAGAGTGTGTACGTCTTCTAAAGAATTTCAGATTTATTTGTTTATTTTTTTCAGATGGTAAAGATGTTTGTTGTTCATGTTGGTTTGCTTGCTTTTCTAAACGTCCTCCCGATGCTGTATCCAGCAGACAGGTTGTCTGCTTGAGTTGTAGATGTGTGGGAACATGACTCAGAGGACATGCCCCAAAGCAAGCAGACGTTTCAAGACGGCACATGTCGGGCTCTGCGGCACACTTCTTCCTCACCTCATAATTCACCTTCATTGTATTTGTGAAGGGTTAATTAATCTTAAAAAGAAAGAGAGAAAAAAAAAATAAAATAAATATACATATATATTATATTATATATATATATATATATATATATATATATATATATATATAATATATATATATATATATATATATATATATTATATATATAATATATTTATTTATATATATATATATATATATATATATATATATATATATATATATTAATATTATAATATAAAATTATATATATATATATAATATATATATATATATATATATATATTATATATATATATAAAAAAAATTCTTTCTGCGCGTGAACTCTTAAGTATGGAAACAAAATCCCAGGACAAAGAGTTCCAACATTGTATTGACCCATAGTTACCTTTCCCCATGACCTAACCGCCTCTAAACAGACTCGGTGCGCTGAGGCTTCTGTCACTATGGCAACCATGACATCAGCAGCATGCCAGTGGTCAGGTTTTGTTCACGAGAAGGAGTGAATGAGGAAATGGAGGATAAAAAGAGAGGCAGTGAAGAAGGGATGGGAAGAAATTTGAGAGAGGGGGTAGAAGGAAGGAGAGCATGGCTACCCTCACTTCATTGCTTTATGTTACCAGGGCAACCGCAGCATGTAGCCCTGTCCGCCCGCCTGCAATCCATCCTCTGTGAAAGCCTCATAAACGAAGCCGGGGCCTTAGGACAGCCTAGTTATATCTCCACCTCACCAGGCTGCGCCCCACCCTATCTCTCCTTTCACGTTCTTTCCTTTGCCCCTTACGACACTTTCTTATATGATCGGTAATTGTCACATTCTTCTCACAATGTGTGAGATTTTAAATATGAGCAGTTCTCATTGAGCCTCATTCATCCACACAGGCCCTACGTGTTTTGAATAAGCAACTGTGGAGTTATCGTTAAAAAAAAGGAGCATCTCTAGCAGGAAACGCGCCTCGCGAGAGGAAAATGCCAGGATGTGACTCCTATCCTGTCATAGTAGTTGGGTCTAAACATGTATAGCAGGCCATCATGGTGTGAGTACTTCGCAAAAGTTTGATGGCTGTTTAAAGAAAGCAAAACTGTTTACATGAGAGACTCCCTGTAGAGGGCATCAAGGTACCTCCTTCTACACTTATTTTCCTCCAAAGGTACACTTTACCTCTGTATGTGAATAAATAAAGTGTCCTGTATTTTGTAATATATAACGTTACATTGAGAGTTTCTTTATTTTTAAACTTGTTATCTGTTCCCGCTCTTCCCGTTATGAGAGCGGCTACGCCCTGGCCAGTGCTTTATGATCTTTTTCTGGTGAACTGGAGAAAATTACCCAGCGCTACAAAGGGAAGAAGGAGGGACTCTGCCGTTGACAGGCAAACACGAGGATGTAGTGTTTGTAGGTTGGACTTTTCCTTTAAAAAAAAAATGCTTAAAATTCATCATCAGTGGATATGTATTTTTGTTCTGTATTTTCGTAGTGAGCTTTTTATAATGCACTGTAATCTGGAGATTATCTGTTCACTTGCTGTGACTGAGTTTCTGCATCGCATACTGGTTGAGTGTACGGCCGGTCTGACGTTGCTGTGGTGGTGTCTGTGCTGTGTCTTTGGAGCTGTGTCTGGGTTGTTGAGAGCTGGGCGGGTTGCTAATGAATGACCTGTCAAAGGTAATGAGGTCCAGTGTGCTGGATGCCTCATGGCTTCCTCTTCCCTGCTCCACTGATTCACTGGTTTGCTTCCATCACCTCGCTCTGCACAGCTGACTGGAGGAATCGGTCTCCCTATTATGCCATCGCTGCACTAAACACGCAGTTAAACAAAGGTTAAGCTGCATATACTAACACTGAACAACTGCTGATAAGAGGGAAAAAAACATGATACATCAGAAATCTGACTTTTTATGGTCCTCATGTCTGTCGTCAGCATTTGGACTATGTTCTGCTGTTTAATGTTTTCTCATTCACAAGTTTCACAATTACAAATTGTCCTCTAGCAATTCCCGACATTTGCGCCATTGACTTCACACAGCCGCAGCTGCAGGCTCCACCCGGCTTCTCCTCTTATGTGCATCTGCAATGTAAATACAGAAAAGGTGTGGCTCCACACGCTGATTCTTTTTTTTTCCGCATCTTCCTGATATGCCGTTCAGAGCTGGAGGTGCTTCCAGGAAGCTATTAATTTTGTGTGTGTCGTTGCCATACCCAGACTGATGCCTCACTGTCTCTGCAAAAATCCCATTCATTTAGTTGTTTGTTCTCAAACATCAGTTCCAGATTCGGTGTGAAATTATTATTACTAAAAATTATTAGAATAAAAATGATCCTATGTTGTTTCATCTAACACCGCCACACTTTGTGCTTTTCTACTAATATGCAAATATGCATTTCTTCTTTCATTATTCCTCTTACAGAAGAAGAGCAGAGAAGAGAGCTGTGGTGAAGGCAGTGGGGTGGAGATCCTAGAAAACAAGCCGTATACAGATGGACCGGGCGGGATCGGCCAGTACACCCACAAGGTCTACCATATTGGCATGCACATTCCCAGCTGGTTCCGCTCTATCTTGCCCAAAGCGGCACTGAGGGTTGAAGAAGAGTCCTGGAACGCCTACCCTTACACCCGCACCAGGTGAGATTGGGTGATGTAAGGAGGCCACCTCGACACTTTTAATGCAGCATTGTGTCGAAACAGGAGGATTTTTCTCCTTTTGGATACAATAAAGTAACATTAGCTTTAACCTTGACACCTCTTTAAAGCAGGGTAGTAGAAATACACAGACTATTTTAATAGTATAAATGCTTTGTGCATGTGACATAGCTGCTGCCGGTAGATCTACATTCATTTACAGACAAAAATCTAGCCCAGGTTCTGCAGAGGATAATATTTTCTGCCATAATTGTATTCAGTGATTAATTTGATGATTCCAAGTCCATGAACAAGTTGTCAGAATATTACGAGGCAGCCCATCAGATCGGCGCATGGCCAGTAGTGCTCCCAGACAGCCAGACGTTGACAGCCCCTCACTTTCAGAGCGTCAGTCCATTTGTCTGTGTGAGGTCTGACAAACAAAGATGTGAAGGTGCTGAAAAGAGATGTGCCCTTGACTGCACACTCGGGATATTGATAGACTCAAAGTGCTGTTGACACATCTATTCAACTAGTGACAGTTTTGCTCCAGATGCAGCAGATGGGTATGGCTTAAGTGTCTTTTATAATCAAAAGTAAGATGGGGTTGTCACTCGTAGTAAAATAGTTCTGCTCTTGAGTTATTAATATAAAATGAGTCCAAATGAAGGGAGACACAAAACTCACTGGTGCTTTGTTGGGACAGTTGTTTCATTTCTTTTTTTTAAATTTCTTCTCCCTTAGATACACTTGTCCCTTTGTGGAGAAGTTCTCTATTGACATTGAGACATACTACAAGCCCGACACTGGCAACCAGGCAGATGTCTTCAACATGTCAGCAGCAGAGAAAAGACAGAGGACTATTGGTGAGACCATTTGACGTCTGCCCCGAACGTCTGTGTCAACATAAAACTGGGATAATAAAATAATGTGGCTAATTTCACTTTCAAATTGCACACATACAAAGCAAGCTCAGGCTGCGTGTTGGCATATGGCCGCATTAGAGAATCAATACAGCAAGTAATGATCTCCTCATTCAGAAGCTGAAGGCGTTTTGCTGTCTGTCCTCTTGCTACTAAGATATGCAGTGGATGAGGCCCACTTGTGGTAGCTTAATGTTACAGCATCTGTTATTTTTCTATGGTTATGAGTGTGTTCTCCCAGTGAAAACAACGCCCTGAAAGGAATGGCTCTTAGGGTACGCAGTGACTCAGTTCCACTATTGTAATTATATAAATCACTTGTGTCTGTGTATCTTATAGTGTTAGCTGGAATTCCAGTTATAAAAAGAATTTGAAGCTGTTAAACACAAGCTCATACAAGTCGGAACTACTGCTCCACCCACTTGTGCACACACCGTAATGTAATAGTAAAGCCTCAACAACTTCCAAACACCTGAGTCCATAAAAGCTTACCCTCTGAAAACGAATCGCCTTTTGCAGACCCAATTGACATAGTGACAGATCCCATCCCCGCTCATGAGTACAAATCAGAGGAAGACCCGAGGCTTTACAAGTCAGCCAAGACCCAGAGGGGTCCTCTGTGGGACGACTGGATAGAAGAGTACAACAATAACCCAGGCAAGACCCCCATCATGTGTGCCTACAAGCTCTGTAAGGTGGAGTTCCGCTACTGGGGCATGCAGTCAAAGATTGAACGCTTTATTCATGATGTTGGTGAGTTGAAGGTCCCAGATGTTCCTGCATTTAAAAAAAAAAAAAAAAAAAAAAAAAAAAAAAAAATTCATTTTACTAATACCCTATTCAGTTACAGTGTTAGCGAGGGTTTATTGTTCTGCAACTGTTTTTCACTAGGCTTAAGAAAGGTGATGGTGCGTGCCCACCGGCAGGCCTGGTGCTGGCAGGATGAGTGGTATGGTCTGACCATAGAAGACATCAGGCAGCTGGAGCTGGAAACCCAGCTGGCCCTGGCCAGGAAGATGGCTCAGTTTAGCCAGGCAGAGGAGGCCACCGAGGCCAACGGAGGCACACCGTCTCCAGACAAAGACCAGGAGGTTAAAGAGGCAATCAGCTGTATCGAAGCTGAAGCAGTCGTTCCCAGCTCAGGAGGAGAAACTCTGCAGCCACGAGGTATACTTACCAAGCAGTGGTCCACCTCCTCCCGATCCTCCCGATCATCCAAGAGAGGAGGTGAGGAACATGCCATCTTCATGCATTTACCCTTATCACTGCTGTGTATGACTTTGTGAAGCTGGCACATCGATGTGATGTGTAAACGTCTTGATCCACCCCTCATTTCATTATTTTTGCTTCCAAAGAAGCTATTTTTTTTCCAGGCCTCCTGGAGAGGTTTTCTTTAGTCATTGGCTGCTCTTTCTCTCATTTTCAGTCCAGTTCTTATCTCAACTATTTTCAGAAGTATGTATTTTTGTTTGTTGAACCACTTAACACTGATTTATGAGCCATTCAAGGGTAAAGGCAAACAACTCAAGGGATGAACCAATGTTGTGTCTACAGATAAGAACGAGTTTTGGATTCTATTTTCAGGCACTTCGTTACTGGCAACCTGTCACAAAAGCAGTTTCTTCCTCTTCATTTAGTCGAAAAATTGCAAAGATAACAGTTTGACAGGCATAAAATTTTACACCCACAAGGTGTTTCCTGAATAGCTATTAACTGAAAACTTGACATATCTCAACATGGTAAGTAATGTCCTTAAACAATCTGCAAAAGCTGGACAAGTTGAGGAAAAAAGAAGTGACACTACACCGAAAAAATAAAACTATCTTCAGGAGTTGAACAATATCTGAAAGTCGTGTTTTGTTTTGTTTTTTTAAAAAAACATTAAAAAAATCCAGCACAAACCAATCAGATTTCAACATTATCGAAGCAGTGTGGGATCATCTTGACAGAGAATGGAACAAAAATCAGCCAACATCCAAAGAAGAGCTTTGAATGTCCTGCAAGAATTCCTGAAGACTACTTATAGAAATGAAAAAGCTGCCTAAGAGAGTTCTTTCTTTCGAGCTCATAAGAATTGTAAAAACTCTGTTTTTGCCTTACATACGCCATTTCCATGTGCGTTTGCACATGCATGGAAATCCTTGCACCCATTTTCCTAGCAAAATGTAAAGAAACGAGGGTGCTCAAGGCTTTTGCACGGTACTGAACTCTTTCTTGTGACAACTGTATTTACATCTCATCGTGTGTTAAAGTCTTATTTGTTAAGTCTTGCATGTGACTCATTTCTGCATTTTATATATTTATGCATGCTAACATCAAAGTCCAAATATCCTGTAAGTGAACACAGCAAACTGTGATACTGCAGACTCGTCCACACTAGAAAGCTAGTATGTGAAGAATTCAGTCAGTAAGGTCAAGCTTCAAGCTGGTGCAAAGCTAAAGTAGGATTGTGTGATTCTGTGAGGTCTCATTTTTCATTTTGCACACCTGCGGTTGAATGAATTTGGGTTACAGCTGCACAGGAAGTGCAGTAATAGCGCTTCTTTTTTTTTTTTCTTTTTTTTTTGGGGTTCAGCTCTGCACAAACATACACACTAAGAGTTAACCCAAAGGTGAAGTAACCAGACTCTATTGGAAAAACCGTGAGCTCAGACCTTTGAATTGGTGTTAATAAAGCAAACGCATCAGAACCAGTTTTTAAAGTGTGCAGACTCTATTTGTGCCTTTACTTTCCTATGAGGCACCTGAATTTCCTTTAACTGCTCCTCAACCATATTTACTCACACCCCTGTGTGAATCTCCTCTGGGTTATTTTTGTCAGCAACATTGATATCTGAATTCACCCATCTCAAGTGTCACCCCTTCTTCAGGTGGCGCTCACTTTAGCTGCCAGATGGACCCCGACTCTCATCGAGCCTCATTTCACCCCTGTAACTGCCCTCCCTCCCTCCATTATTCCCTCCAGGGCTATTTTTAGCAACAGTGCTGACATCACAGGACAGAGGAGGCTGATGCTCCTCAGAGTGACCCTCCCTTCCAGCGCTGCTGTGTCTCTCTGCACTGACAGCTACATCTGTGCCCCTCTCTTACTGCCTCTCACAGTGACCACCTAATGATATATAATCCATAGATTGAAGACAGGTGATAGACGAGGCCTGTTTTTCCTCAGCTGGAAAAGATTTTGGTGTGTTTGGAGCTCGTTCTTGTTGCACTGGGCCTCGGTTTTTAACACACCGCCGCTTTAACACACCACCAATCAGTCCATCTGTGATGAAGTAATGCACCACAGAGACTGATATATGTTTATGTAACACTGTGTGTGTGTGTGTGTGTGTGTGTGTTTCGTGTGTGTGTGTGCGTGTTCGTGTGTGTGTGTGTGTGTGTGTGTTGTTGTTGTGTGCGTGTGTGTGTGTTCGTGTGTGTGGTGTGTGTGTGTGTGTGTGTGTGTGTGTTGTGTGTGTGTGTGTGTGTGTGTGTGTGTGTGTGTGTGTGTGTGTCGTGTGTGTGTTGTGTGTCTGTGTGTGTGTGTGTTGTGGTTGGTGTGTCTTTGTGTGTGTGTGTGTGTGTGTGTGTGTGTGTGTGTGTGTGTGTGTGTGTGTGTGTGTGTGTGTGTGTGTGTGTGTGTGTGTGTGTGTGTGTGTGACACAGAGGCTAAAATGCACATCCCAAAATAATGGTGAATTTCTTGCTTTCCTGTTTCTTCCTTTTTCTTGTTTGCCCCCCCCCCCCACCCAGTGAGCCCGTCACGTCACAGCATCTCCGAGTGGAGGATGCAGAGCATTGCACGAGACTCGGACGACAGCTCGGACGAGGAGTTCTTCGATGCTCACGGTAACTTGCTGCTCTGATTTGTAAAGTAAATGTGGACGCTGGGTGAAATGTTTCTAACCTGTTTGGCTCCCCTTTCTTCATTTCCTTTGAATGCGTCTCTTTAATCGCAGATCAGTTCTTAAGCTTCCCAGATACCCAGCATGCTTTGGGGCTACAGTTGAACTAGGTGGGTGTGCTGCGGCACCCGTTCTTCCTGCTGGATAAGTTCGGCCGAGAAGACACGAACGAGGTGTCTCATCCCAATATCACGTTCAAAAATCACAATCGTCTCTGCCCAACTTCATTCACACAGTTCACGGTGCATCAAAGAAATAAAAGAACCCCTGTGAATAGTGAATAATTTACGTGTGTGTGTGTGTGTGTGTGTGTGTGTGTGTGTGTGTGTGTGTGTGTGTGAGAAATTCAGTTTAGTCAATATGATGAATGAGAATAAAATTATGCACGATGCAGTCATTGATTACACTGATACTAATTTTGCTGCATTCATTAGTTTCCACCTACCCCGAGTTTAATAGGTTGCTCGTGACACTATGAGTCACTGGAAAACAATAACTAAAATGAATTGTGTTGACGTCTAATTATTTTTTTTCATATTAACATGTGTCACAGTATTCGTGTTTATATGGATTCATTGTTTGTGTGTGTGTGTGAGAAGCAAAAGCCAGATGGCCTGCTTAAAACGTCATGATTTATGAACACTTATTTAATTATGGGTAAATAAATGAGGGCATCAGAATGAGCTTATACATGTAAGTGTTTGTAAATCACATGATGCAAGTACACAAATTAAATCTGGAAAACGACTGAGTTGGCTCAGATTGCTTCCAATTTTAGGCTTCTGTCTTTAAAGTTCTTGTGATCTTCTTGCAGTAACAATCACTCAAGGATTAGAAAAGCGTGTGCAAGTTTATTTTTACACTCCATTTTTTTTTTTTTTTTTTTTTTTAAATGCAAATGAATAAAGGAAGAAGAAAAAAAAGCTAAGGAGGTGAATTTGCCAATGATGGTACACGTGTAACCTGTCGTATTTAATTAACATGTTTTATTTAAATCATTGAAGGTTTATTAATAAAAAATCTTGCAGTGGAATAAAGAAAATCTGACATTTTTATCCAGTTTAACACTGGATGGTTGTTTATATTAATGAATAAATTAGAAGGATGTTGAAGCAACTGAGGAAACAAATGAAATAAAGGATTTCGAGTCAGAAAATTTTGTGTGTTAGGAACAATGCTACAAAAACTTGCCGCAAGCCCCTGTGAGTATTCCAGCCAAATCGTTATGAAATAAAGAATGTCATTTGATTTCCTGCGTTGATGCTGTTTATTTGTAGTGTAGCTGCTGTAGAAATAAATAGGACATGATTTGATTTGAGGTCAAATCTTGATTACCCAGCTAAAGTGAACGCTGTTGGCAAAAATCGCCCTGAGAGGAATTAAAAAGGATCTGTTTGAGGTCCTTTTATAATCACAGGTTAATGTCAGTAGATCAGTGAGACGATTCATCCATATGTGTGCATGAATTTAAGGCGCATAGTGAAATATTTGTAGCAGGTAATCATGGAGGAAGCTGACTGTTTTTAGTTTATAGAAAATAAATTATAGTGATACAATAAATGCAAAACAACGTATACTCACTGTGTGTGGATGATCACACATGGAAACACCAAGCTTCATGTGCATTTGTGTAGGTTGTTAACTTGTAGGAAACCCTAAGGTTCCTTTTCCTTCATTCCCTTCTTTATTAGATCACTTTGACACTGACAGGGTTCATTTAGATTAATTTTTTTTTATTGTTCATTTTTAGCGGTTTGTCTTTGTTATTCTATTTTATTTGTTTGCATATTTATTTTTATATCCCATTATTTGTTGACACGCAGCAGGGTTTGTGGTTCGTGTTTAAGGACGGCATTGTGTGAGTTTGATTGGGTGAATAGGTTGTCGGGGTAAGCTGCAAACAAATTGCTTTATTAATCCCAAGAAAGGCCAATCTGGCACTCTGAATCTGAACTCTTGGTGTAATAATCCATTCAAAACCCCTGAATAGTGAATACAGTTTTAACCAATCTGTTG